GATTTTTTCAGAAAACGTTTTTAAAATCTAGAAGGAACTAGGAACTATTCGAAATTCACAAATGCACAACTATGTTCACTTTCTCACCAGAAAAGTTACTGAAATATAAAATCAAAGGATTATTTTGACTCTACCAAACATGTACATAGACAAAAAAAAACACTAATTAGCGTTGTATTATCAATCAATTTTTCGCTTTGCCTAGACTCTAAATTATAATATTGCGTATTAAAGACATACAATATTGACCGTTTCAAAATAAATCTCGACGACGTTAACAATTTAATTGAACTTAGAAAGGACAAAAATMTAATTTTATATTTTCAATGTATGTAGTTGTTGTCAAGTAGTCTGATCCGTAGTATATCGTGAAGTGTAAATAAAATAACATATACCTACGTCCTATATATATAATGTATATATATATATAAATATATTATATTTTTTCAGTACGACCAGTATGATATTTGTCTTTTGTGATAAAGTCAAATAAAGTTGCTTCCTTGTGTTGTGTGTATATAATATTATATAGTATAGCTCAGTGTGTGCAATGATCGTTGAGAAATTCACTGAGTCAATTTCTACACGATAATAAACCTGACCGGAACACATTTTTCTTGAACGTCAGTGGCCAGGATACGTTTTTAACGTAACTTAACTGAGAAATACAATATTTCTCAATATGTTGTTGCGTAGACCAAAAACGAAATTATTTCGCTTTGCGTGTCACTGGACGACTGCAATAAACAATATCGGCACAGTCTCAATTTTGATGGACCAATCCCACCATYAACAGTTATCGTCAAATACATTATATATTGTTATAMTTATTATTGTTATGATGTATGTACGTAATTACGGTATTGTTACACTTCTGACTTCAAAACATTTTTCACTGTAGCTTGACCGTATCAGTATCAAATTTCTGGCAGTTRTTAAATGCACATATCTATAGCAGTCAATAGTTTTAAACGATTTTGAAAAGCATTTCCCTTTTTTTCGTCATCTAATTGGTACTTGTTCCTTATGATATTATTTTGTTTTACATTTTATTATTTTTTGATACAAAAATGTCGATAACACGGCGTCTTAGATATGCAATTTAGCTACAGCACTGCGTGGTTAATTTTGTTTGGTATATTATTATTATTATTTTTATTATTTTTATTATTTTTATCATTGGGATATTACAATGTTAATTTATATTTCAAATATTATACTAAAATGAAATTGATTTAAGATTATTTGAATCGATCAGGTAAATTTATTATGTCAAAAGTATATTTTATAGGTAATATACAATTCATTAAATCACATAAAATTCGTCTGATTTAATGATAAAAATCATAAATTAGATGAAATGAGTATAAATACTTTATGATTAATATTTTTATGAGTAACGACTACATGCAATTTCAATCAACCGTAAATGAAGTAGTTAATTAGAATTAATTTTGATTCTTAATTGAAAAATATAATTTAACTTTTAAACGTTTATGMAAATATACCTTGTATTTAATTCTTTAACTGTTCGTCTCACTCAAATCTTATTGAATCGATTCATCTATTTTCARTTTATTTCATATTTTATTATAGATTCTACAAYACCTCGTTGATAATAACATAAACATTCATGTTCTTGGTTACTGTGATATTGATTACAGATTTTTATGTTTCAATGTTTTCTGCGGAGGGTTCAAGACTGAATAATTGACCATGACATTAAAAAAAAATAATCTATTCCTTTATCATTATTATTGCACAAATCGATATGCACTATAAATATATCCACAATCATAATAAATTATAMAAAATTAACAGAAACATTGTTAAAAACSTGTGACCAACACAAAACAGTAATTCATTTTTTTTTACTAAAACCAGGCTAATATAATATCTTACTATTTTTCTTTATTCTTTCAGGAGCTACCCGTTGGTTCATTCTCGCATCGATATCAACCGCTTGAAGGACACTTCCTACGAAGTGATTATCAGCGTGCTAATCTCCGACGATGACATCACCACTCAATCCACATTGGACTGCGAACTCAAAATCCCTGATACTCCATACGTCAAGAGAAAGACTTTTGTTTTCTTCCAAGGTAGGTGTATTWTTAATATTATTTTGTTTCTCTCGTCGGACTGCACGCGATTAGTATGCTTAAAACGAATCGATCGAACAGAAAAACAGTTTCACGCGTATAATAATAATAATAAAATTGTTATTATTATTTTTAGTGTCGTCGTAGTCATCACGAACACGCCATTATAATATTATAATTATGACATTATTGTAATACGATAGTCAAATGTACAAATGCAGTGTGCGCCCGACGCCTGTCGAAAGACATACGCCGTTTTTTTTTTGCATTTTAACAGTTGGGTGAACTTTTAATCGTAATGTTCACTGTATAATGGCGGTTGGGTCACACGCGAAGAAGACGAATATGAAGGTATAAGAAAAAACGTTAGCTCCCATATTGTRTTTCTAGTATATTATATTCTGGTATCAAAGTGCCTGGTGYCAATGCAGTTTTATCCACAAAATTACGCTGTTCTATGGGAAAAATGATCCTGATTTGTATAATTTGATATTTATTTTTTTTTTAACTATAGGACGTAAAATATTATTCTCCGTTTTTTCAAATTTTAATCTCAAACTATATAATATCTCTTAAAAAAAAATGTACAGGTTTAAGAATTTTTTTACAAATTATATATGATATAATTTTTTGAAGTTTAATAAAAAAAATTTGGAGTTAATTTTGGTTTGCAGAAAATTTTCTTCTTTCAGAATTTCAGATAAAAGAAATAGTTATAAAAATCTGACAATTTTAAAAAGCTTGAGAATATTATTTCTTTGAAGTAACTTTTTACACACTTTTCTTACTTTCACGTCTGTTTGTCTGTAATCAAATCTTGCACGCTCGATTTGAGGCACCTTTTCACGATGAAAAATACTGAAAATTGGTATAGACCTTGGTCTTGGATGACAATACAATAACCGGTTGTCATTTTGGGACACGGACCTCCAGGTAGGCGATGAGAGATGTGAAAAGTTATCTCCCAGGAATTAAAGGTATAATAATATAATAATATAATAATATAACCATAACAAATAGTAACTACCATCTACCAAAAATATAAAAATATATTATCAACCTTATGTTTAGATTTGTTAACTTAAATTTTAAATTTTTCATCACACGCGCTCGTATCACCGCCGCTGTTCGTCGAGTTCGCTGCCATTTAACCTAACCATTACTTGCCGAAAAAAAAAATCAGCATTGCATGATAATATAATATGATATACGAGTATGTATGATAAACGTTTAGTAAAAAAATTTACTTTCAACTAAAAAGTAGAAAATAAATAAAATTAATACATTTTTTTTAAAAAACACTTTCCTATAAAAACATATTTAAAAAAAAAGTCAAAAATTTTTGAAAATTAAACTGTATATAGATATCACTAACATAAACATTTGTTGAAAATGTCAAGTATTTACTATTTACAGTGATTAGTTTTTGAATTACAACCATACAAAAAAATCGATTTGGTCGAAAACTG